GAAAAATATTATATGATTCAATTTATGAGGTAAATAGAGTTCACTTATAAGGACTACAAAATAGGATGATGGTTGCAGGAGCACGGGAGGGGGACATAGGGAATAATTGTTTAATGGATAGACTGTATAGAATTTAAAAGCTCTGGAGATTGTTCACAGAGCAATGTGAAAATACTTAACACTACTGAACTGTACACTTAAAAATGGTTAAGGTGGTACATTTTATTGTATGTTACATGCATTTTGTTACAATTAAAACAATCAGACAAATATAAACAAAAACATGTCCCAACCAAACTCAGTACATTTATTCCCCAAACTGCTTCTCTTTTGATTTTCCAAGTGGTCTCAGTGAGGAACACTTAAGTGAGCATTAGTCCAAAATGTTCCCTCCCTCTGCTTCACTCGTTTTGTCAATCCAGCCACCAGGCTTTCTGGCCCTGTCTCCTTAACATTTCTTAGACTCCCCTCAAGGTCTATCATTGTTACCAGACAGAGACCTACCCTGAGCAGTCTGCCTCAGGCCTGCCTGGAGTGCCTGGGTTCCTGACTTTGTGTAGGAAAATTTTCACAACAAGAGTCCAGATGGGGTTGAAGGTATGTTTATTAACAATGAGGACAGAGTAACAAAGGAAGAAACGAGGGGGTAAGAAACAACTGGGGAGAACCCAGGCGGTGCTCTGCCTTGGCTCTCTAGAAATGTTACAGAAAGAAGTGAGCCAAGGAGGGGCTGTTATAGCTCACTGGGAAGTCTGAGAAAAGGGGGCCTGGCCTGCACAGGGTCCAGGGTGAGACCCGTGGCACTGCAGCTGCCCACTGTTTTCCTGGATGCAGATCTCATGGGGACACTTATAAATAAAAAGTTCGTGCCTGGGTAGGTGCATGGGTATGCCCAAAAGTGAGCCCACATTGAGTCTTGGTCCTGAAGACTTTTTAAAATATATATATATATTTTATTGATTTTTCACAGAGAAGAAGAGAGAGGGATAGAGAGTTAGAAACATCGATGAGAGAGAAACATCAACCAGCTGCCTCCTGCACACTCCCTACTGAGAATGTACCTGCAATCAAGGTACCTGCCCTTCACTGGAATCAAACCTGGGACCCTTGAGTCCACAGGCCAAAGCTCTAGTCACTGAGCCAAACTGGATAGGGCCTTCTCCTCCTCCTCCTCCTCCTCCTCCTCCTCCTCCTCCTCCTCCTCCTCCTCCTCCTCCTCCTCCTCCCCCTCCCCCTCCCCCTCCCCCTCCCCCTCCCTCTTCTCCTCCTCCGCAGGTGAGAAAATCACAGAAAGGGTTTTCAGAGAATATTCATCAGCTCTCCAGGTGCATTTTTTATATGTTGATGCATCAAAATTAGTGTATAGGGGAGTTCTGAATTATTCTTTGGTCTATTTTACTGTTTTGCTTTTATCTTAGGTCTGTCTGGCTTTAAGGGGGTATTTCTTATTTGTACCCCAACTTCATCTGTCCTTGGGTTTAGCTGGCACAAATGGCATTCATTGGGTCTTTGGTCTCTATTTCCCCAGGCCAGGGTGCTTCTGGTTAGGGAGAAGGGTGTAAACCATTTGCTCTCAGGTGTCCTTGGTTAGGGAAGATAAGGTCTTGCAATTCACAAGCTGGCTGTAAGTTGCCCAAACTACAATATTTGGTCTTGTTTAATTTTCTTGTCTCAGCTTCTTCATTCCACTTGCACAGGATTTTCCTAGCTTCTTACTATCCTACTCCATCACCTGTACTTATCTACTCTAGCCTGAGTGGTTGCTGTTACTGTTTCCTAACTGCATTCAGCTCAAAATCTTACTGCATTCAAATAATTGTTCATGTCTTACTAAATTTTTTTCTGCACTCCAAATGTGAACAAATTATTTCCACTCCTAAAAATACTTTAATAGTTCCCCCTTGGCTGCTACTATTTAGAATAAAAAATAACCTAGTCCCTTCTTTTCTAGTTCCTAGCTCCTATTTCTTCTTGAGTCTCTCTTTATACAATTCACTCCAGCTGTACTAAGCTATTTGTAGTTGCAAAGAACATGTTTTATGGTTTCATGACTCGCTTTGTTCATGCTGCATTTTCTGCCTGCACTATCAGGAATGCTCCTCTCTATCCTGTCCACCTGGTGAACACCTGGTTTTCTTTGAAGGCAACTAAAAACTCATTTTCTATAGATATATGAAACTTCTGACCACTTCCCTTTTTTTACTTCACCCAGTCAGAATTTATTCCCCCCACTTTGTCATGCTTAAGCATTTAAAAAAAATCATCACTTTTGTAACATTTTATTGCACTTGCTTGTTTTACATGTATGAGTTCTTATTTAGAAAAAACATTTATTGTTGAAAGTATTACATATGTCCCATTCCCCCCTCACCTTAACCTCATCTGACCACGCCTTAACCCCACTCCCCCAACCCAAGGTCTTTGCTGCCCTATTGTCTGTGTCCATGGTTATGCATATAAGCTATTTGGTTGATCTCTTCCCACCCATCCACCCACCCTCCCCAGCGTTCCCTCTGAGATTTCCCAATCTATTCCATGCTTCTCTGTGTGAGTTCTTTTAATTCAGGTGCTTTTGAAAGCAAGGATGTATCTCTACCCCCACCTCCCAAGGACAAGAATCTTAGGGGAGGGTTTTAGCAGAATATTCACCAGCTTTTCAAGTGCATTTTTAATGTGCAAATGCATCAAAATGAGGGGATAGGGAATTGGGGATCATTCTTTGGTCTGCTTTCCTGCTTTACTTTTATCTTGCGTCTGTCTGGCTTTAATGGGGCTTTTGTTATTTGTACCCTTAATGTCATTTGTCTTTGGGTTTAGCTGACACAATTGACATTAATTGGGTCTCTGTTCTCTATTTCCCAGACCAGGGTGTTTTAAGCTTTGTATTCTCTGGTTAGGGAGAGGAGGTATCAACCATTTGCTTTCAAGTGTCCATGATTGGGGAAGATTAATTTTTGTCTTTCACAAGCTAGCTTTAAATTGTTCAAATTGTTTATCCTTGTTTAATTTTCTTGTCTCAGATTCCCTATTCTATACCCAGGAATTTTCTTAGCTTCTTATTATCCTGTCACAATAAGATCTAGGATAGAAGGCAGAGATGTAGAGGCACTGTGGTTTACTTCTTTTTATATCCCCAAAGTCCAACACAGTGTCTGGAATACTGTACAAGTCCATTAAAAGTTGGTTGGCTATATTATTTATGCTATGGGTATGAACTGGACATTATTCTACAAACATTTATTGAACACCTATTATATTGTAGCAGAATAGGTATGTTAAAGAAAACAATCATGTTAAAACTCACCCACGAATCTTAGCAGTTTGCCTCAGTGGATAGAACGTTGGCCTGCAGACTGAAGGGTCTTGGGTTCTATTTCAGTCAAGGGTACAAGCCTAGGTTGTGGGCTCAATCCCAAGTAGAGGCCATGCAGTAGGTAGCCGCTCAATTCTCTCTCAATTGACTTTTTCCCCCTTTTATCTATCTCTCCCTCTCTCTTCCTCTAAAATCAATAAAATATTAAAAAGAAACCTCAGCCCATGATATGATAAGTATCAGAGATATCAACTGTATGTTTTGTATTGGAAGGCTGAGAAGGAAGATAGGATGATGATAACAGTGGTGGTGACTTAAGAATATCCTCACTTGGAAGGTACATTCATCATTGATTATTTTTGTTAGGAGTTTGCCTGGTGTAAATTTTTTGTGGATTAGGGAATGTACTTTATTAAGCATTGTATCTTTGGAATATAGTACAGTAATTATACTTTGTGAGTGCTTAATCAATACAAATTCAATGAATTGAACGCATGAAACCTCTGGGCTCAAAGTGTTGACATAATTGTGCAAGTATATAAAGTTCCAGGCTGGGAGTGGCTGGAGAGAAACTGAGAAATCACGAAGGATTTTGGTGCCATTTTAAGACTGGTTGTATTTTCTAAGCAGCTGAGCTAGCAGAGGCTTTTAAGCAGGAAAACGGTAGGATCAGTTTAGCTTACTATGAAGAAAACTGAATTTCAGGGAGAAGAGAAGGAAAGCTGGGAAATGATCGGAGATCCCTGCATTGTCCAGGTGAGTGGTAATGGTGAGTGAAGGCAGTGACAGCAAGGATGAGAAGGGGCTGGATTTTCATATTGTTGAAGCAGACTCAGACTTATTGACAATGCGATGAGAGAGGAAAGATGGAGAAAGAGGAAATGAGACCAGGAGGTTTTTTAGGAGGCCTGTGTGCAACAATGTATGTGACAACATCTATAAATATCAAAACATTACATTCGTTGTTTTAGCTCAGGCTGCTCTGTTTATTCATTCATTTATTTTTAAAATATATTTTTATTGTCTTCACAGAGGAAGGAAAAGAGACAGAAACATCCATGATGAGGGAGAATCAGCTGCCTCCTGCATGCCACACACTGGGGGTCAAGCCCTCAACCCAGGCCTGTGCCCTGACAGGTAATCCAATTGGACCTCCAGGTTCATAGGTCACAGCTCACTCACTGAGCCACTCCAGCAAGACAGCTGCTTTGAGTTTAGATGGAGAAAGGGGCTGTACTTTTAAAGAGATGTGCTCATCTCTAGTGAAATATCATCCTTTGGATTCTGGAAAGATAATCTGAGCAGATAGAGAGATGAAAAGATGCTGCAACTGGTTTGCGGACTCAAGGGTCCCAGGTTCCATTCTGGCCTTGGTTGCGGGCAAATCCTCAGTGGGAGGGTGTGCAGGAGGCAGCTGATCGATGTTTCTCTCTCATCGATGTTTCTAGCTCTTTATCCCTCTCCCTTTCTCTCTGTAAAAAAAAAATAAAACAAAATATATATTTTTAAAAAGGAATAAAGAAAAGAACACAGTTCAGCTATTCCTTAGGCAACTTTCTCCTCTCCCTCCACTTCCCAGGAATCCCAAAGCCCCGGAGCCCCGCCCACCTCTCTCCAGCCCGCAGCCTTCCGACGGGAGCGGGCGTCCCCGCCTGCCAATCACGCCCCGTGACGTCATCTCCGCGCGCCGCCTCTGGGCGAGTAGGACGCGGCGGCGCGTGTACCGAGTTGACTGTCAAAGTCTCCCAGAGCCCCGTTCCCGGAAGCTGTGAGTTCCGAGGAAAGTTTTTTGACCCCGAGTCTGCGAATCCCCCACGATGAGCGCCCCGGGCGTTCAGTCCTTCACCCAGCAGGGCTGGGAGCAGGTGCTGGCCAAAGTGAAGCGGGCTCTGGTCTACGTGGACGCCGCCTGCGCCGAGAGCCTGCACTGGGGCTGCGGGTCCGCCCGGCTCCTGGAGGCGGTGGGGGCTCCTGCGTGTCACCTGCGCGAGTTCGAGCCCAACGCAGCTGGCGGCGAAGCTGACCAGCCCAAGGCGGTGTTTGTGCTGAGCTGCCTCCTGAAAGGCCGAGCCGTGGAGACCCTGCGGGACATCATCCGCCGCAGTCACTTCCAGTACTGTGTGGTGGTCACCGCCGTGAGCCACGCTGTCCACCTCACGGCTAATCACGTGCCGCCGGCGGCGGCGGCCGAGCTGGAGGGGCAGCAGCCCGTCTTCGAGCAGCTGGAGGAGAAGCTGTGTGAGTGGATGGGCAACATGAACTACACCGCCAAGGTGCTGCACATCCCGCTGTTGCTAGCTCCTGCTGCCCCCCATCTTGCCTTGACTCCGGCCTTTGCCTCCCTTTTCCCACTGCTACCCCAGGATGTGCATCTTCTCAATAGTGCCCGACCAGACAAGAGGAGGCTGGGGAGCCTGGGTGAGGTGGATGCCACTGCCCTGCCCCCAGAGCTGCTATTGCAGATCAGATGCCTGGTGTCAGGCCTCAGTGCTCTGTGTGAGCATCTGGCAGTACGGGAGGAATGTTTTGCTGTAGGTTCCTTCAGTCGGATCATAGCTGCAGATCTGGCCAATTATGCCCCTGCCAAGAACAGGAGGAAGACTTCTACGGGCAGGGCCTCAGTGGTCTTTGTGGACAGAACTCTGGATCTCACAGGTAAATGGGATTGTGCAGGTCTTCATAAGCACTCTCCAAAGTTCTGGGACTTCCACTGATTCACCATATATTTTATTGACCTCTTATTGTTGGTCAAGTTGAGGATACAAAGATGAACTAGATGGACACAGTCTCTGATCTCATAGAGTTTATGGTCTAGCAGTGTTTCCCAAACTTTTGACATAGGTATGTGTACCCCTTCTATAATTTTCGTTTCACTGAGTACCCCTCGTACTCATGAGAACGTAGAATTAGGCGCAGCTAAGCAGGGTGCAGTGCATATCCCCACCAAACTCTGGTGCAACGTGTACCCCCACCAAACTCTTCCCGTACCCCTGGGGGTACACGTACCACACTTTGGGAAACACTGGCCTAGAGGGAGATAAAACAAGCAAATTAGCAATTGCACTGAATTTTCTAAATGCTGTGATGGGTAAATACATCTTCAACATGCACTGCCTTGTTAAACAACAACAGCTGTATCTAGCTCAAGAGATTGGAAAAAAGTAATTATGCTGACATTGTCTACAGCTGCCAATATTAACAATTCTTTATAGGATGGCGCTAATTAGTTGTAGAGGTGTTAATAAATGACCTCCTAGTACAGTGGTTCTCAACCTTTCTAATGCCACAATTCTTTAATACAGTTCCTCATGTTGTGGTGACCCCTAATTATAAAATTATTTTCGTTGCTACTTCATAACTGTAATTTTGCTATTATGAATCGTAATGTAAATATCTGTGTTTTCCAATGGTCTTGGGCTCTACAGCAGCGGTTCTCAACCTGTATGTAGGTGGCGACCCACAGGTTGAGAACCGCTAGCAGGGTCACCTATAAATAAGACCATCGGAAAACACAGATACTGTGTAAGCTTGCCCAGCTGGCGTGGCTCAGTAGTAGACTGTTGACCTATGAACCAGGAGATCATGGTTTGATTTCAATCAAGGCATGGTCAGGGTGCATGCCTGGGTTGCAGGTCTGATCCCCAGTTAGGGGCATGCAGGAGGCAGCAATCAATGATTCTCCCTCATCAGTGATGTTTCTATCTCTTCCTCTCCCTTTGTCTCTGAAATCAATAAAAAATATATATATTAAAAGTTGTGTAAGCTTGAGCAAGTTATTTAAACTGAGTCTTCTACTCTGTAAATGAGCATATTAACACCTACCTATTAAGAGTTGTAAGAGTTAAGTGGATAATAGAAGTAGTATGGAACTTAATATACCTCATACATCAGAAGCTCTAACTAAATGTTAGCTATTGTGATAAAGATCATGATGGTAATTAAGATGATTTCTTGAATTCCTGGTTTCGTCTTTTCTATGTAGTTTTTCTGTCCAAATAATATGACGTGGCAAAAAACAATAGAAAGACAGAGATAAAGATAGAGATAAGAGGACAGAGAGACATTAAGGAAGCAAATATTAATTGGCTTACAGTGCGTAAAACAATTAAATGTTTCAAGTCCCACCCATTGTTGGAGTGAGGTCTTTCAAGCAACAATGATAACTTGGTTTCATGGGAAAAGTATTAAACTGTGTCATTGGTCTTGAATTTCAATTTGATTCATTTAGTCATTTGTTATTAGAAGAGTTAATACATATAAAGCACCTAGAACAATCCCTGGTACACAGAAAGCCTATAAATACCTCTACCATTGTAAACTGTTACCATTCACTTATTTATTCTTTTCTCTACCTGGCAAATATTTAGTGAGAACCTACTAGCTGCCAAGTTGCCTACCAGATATGGTGAATATAGGGTGAATTAGACAAACAGTTGCCATTATGAAGATATGGATCTAGCAGAGGGGCGATCTGCTATTCCTTGTCAGGTCTACAAGCCCTTCTGGGTCTTATGATCTTCATTAGTAAAATTTGGCTCTCAAATTTCAATATAGTATCATCCTATGACACCATTTACCTGGGTGACTATAGGCTGATTATTTATCCATTTAGTATTTATTGATGCCCACCATATCATTAAAACGTTAATTCAGCTTCAATTCGTCCCATTTTGTGAGTTCATAATTTCTGTCTGCTTAAACAGGAGCAGTTGGACACCATGGAGACAACTTGGTAGAGAAGATCATTTCAGTGCTTCCCCAGCTCCCTGGCCACACCAATGATGTGATGGTTAACATGGTAGAGCTCACTGCACTGCAGAATGAAGAGGAGAATCAGAATATGGTTGCACCAGGCTGTCTTGCACAATCCAAGTAGGATAAGTAGATTTTTTCCCCCTCTCCTCCTACTCTTCCCTTTTTTTTTTTTTTCTCTCCTACAATGTTCTGTAGAAAGAAAAACAATGAAGTCGAGGCCGGTTTGGCTCAATGGATAGAGCTTCGGCTTGGGGACTGAAGGGTCCCGGGTTCGATTCTGGTCAAGGGCATGTACCTTGGTTGCGGGCATATCCCCAGTAGGGGGTGTGCAAGAGGCAGATGATCGATGATTCTCTCTCATCGATGTTTCTAACTATCTCTCTCCCTTCCTCTCTGTACAAAATCAATAAAATATATATTAAAAAAAAAAGAAAAACAATAAAGAGTTAGTCTGGTTGAAAAATTCATAGTGGATAGCATAAAAAAAACCCCCAAAACCCACATTTTTTTTTCTAACCAGAATAACCATATCCAGTAAACAACAATAAGCCAACAAGTATGGAATTTTCTAGAGGTGTAATTTAGATGTAATATAAACTTGTTCCCAAGATCAGTTAAAAGTCAATTTATGCATCTCCATTTCACAGACAGCTTCACATGGAATTGAGTCTATGCTTTTTCCATTTCTCTTTCTCAGTTGACTATTCCACATGATTAGAAAACTGCCCATGTAGCTATGAAACAGTGCCATTGTATATATGTAAATAGTATGCTCTGGGCATTAAGTTTTTATTTCTGTGTATATTTTTTCACATGCTTAGGGAAATTAGAGAACAAAGATGGTGTACTTTATATTATTCAGAGTTTCAAAAATAAAAGAACATTTCTTCAGAAACAGGACAATGAAAAGATACAATAGTTACCTTTTCTACTTTGACCTTCATCAACAATTCTATGAGGAAAAGCATCAGAATGGGCCAAGTGTCTGAGTATATGTTCCCCTTATCTTCATGTTTTTAGTTTTTATACAAAACAAAACCTTTCAGCACCAAAGATTCAAATATCAACCTTAAAGGATATATTTGGAATTTCCTATCATATTTGGAATTAATTTTCAGCTCCTGAAGTTTTCAACTTTTTTGTAGATTAATAAAATTGGATGCTGAGTGTGTATAATCCACTATGGGGAAAAAAACTGGAAGTTCTGTAGCCTGTCTTTTTTGTAAGCTTATACAACGGTAAGAAAATCAGCCGTGTGCTCACTTCAGCAGCACATACACTTAGCTGTTCAGAGGGCCATTCAGAAGTTAATTACTAAGGACTTGCTGAGCCTTAGTCTGGACTAAGTACTATGAAGAACATAAAAGAATCTATATATATGAAAAGCCAGCAACCAGAATGCCATAATGACTGTAACGACCTAAAGCTATGATGCCCACTATGGCCAGGGAACCAGCCTGATCAGGGGGTGCGGCTGGACCGCCAACTCCCCTGTGGTCCTTCCTCCAACCCCCAATCGGCCCACCACATCCTGACCAGCCTGCAGTCTTTCCCCCCAGCCAGCCCTGCCTCTGATCACTCCCCCACCCATATTAGGGTGGGGCTGGCCAGCCAACCTCCTGAAGCCCCTCCCTCTTGCCTGTCCCATGCCCTATGGGCCCCCACCACCCTGATCAAGGAGTAGCCTGCGAACTTCCCATGACCCCTCCTGGCAGCCAGCTCCACCCCTGATCCCAACTCATACCCTAATAGGGGGCAGGGCTGGCCAGCCAACCTCCAAGAGCCTCTTCTCCTGCTAGCCCCATCCCAGATCGGCCCCCCATCCTGATCAAGGGCAGGGCCAGCTGGCCAATTGCCTGCAGCCCCTTCCCCCATCTGGCCCCACCCCTGATGTGCCCCCACCATCCTGATCAGCCTGCAGCTCCTCCCCAGTCAGCTCTGCCCCTGATCAGCCTCCCCATTCTTTTCAGGGGCAAGGCCAACCACCCATGGTCCCTCCCCTGGCCACAGACACCCAATTGGCCCTTCCCGCCACATTTGGGGGTGAGGCTGGCTGGCCCACCACTCATAGCCCTTCCACATAACCAGCCCTGTTCCCAATAGGCTCCCCACCCCAATTGGGGGCAGGGCCTGCCAGCTAATCACCCTCTGCTCCTCCCCCAGCAAGCTCAGCCCTGATCAGACCCTGATCAGGCAGGCCAGTCGGCCAATCTCCCGCCATCTCTTCCAACAAACCTGGCCCTGATCCACCCTGATTGGGGCCGGGTCAGCCAGACCCCACTTGTACATGAATTCATGCACTGGGCCTCTAGTATAAAATAAAATTTTGACCTCCAGGAACACTTTTTTTGTTGGGGTAGTCATGATTTACATATACCATAGGTACAATCTATATATATCTATGCCTATATCTATATCTATATATGCCCGCAACCAAGGTACATGCCCCCAACCGGAATCGAACCTGGGACCTTTCAGTCCCCAAGCCGACGCTCTATCCATTGAGCCAAACCGGTCTCGGCCACATATACTTTAAAAAAAAAAAGTTTTTTTACTTGCCCGGCTCTGTGTGGTCTCTGTGTGCTTGCCCGGCTCTAAAATGATTCTAAATGCTGCTGTTTACAGGGTTGATTACATGTGTTTATGACTGTGATGTTGGGTTTTAATGCACATAAAATATTTTAGGACACTATTTGTTTCAGAATCTTTTTTTCTTCATTTCCTTTCTTTAAAAACTGGTGCGTCTTATGGTCCGGAGCGTCTTATGGACCGAAAAATACAGTAGGTACAATCTATATATATCTATGCCTATATCTATATCTATATATCTATATATCCTATCTAATAAAAGAGTAATGTGCAAATTAACCATCACTCTGCTACACCCACCAGCCACGCCCACTGGCCAATCAGAGTTTGCAAATAAACCCAACCAAGATGGTTACAGCCACAGAGAGTAGGAGGGAGGCTTGGGTTTCCCAGGCCATGGAGGAAGCCAAGCTTCCCTCCTGCCCTTGCTGGCCGAAGCCTCCACTCAAGGCTATAAGGTTTCAATTATAGAAGGTAAACAAATCCAAACAGAAATGGGGCAGCCACGGAACTGGAAAGAGCAGGAGGCTTGGGTTGCCCCTGGCAATGGAAGATGCAAAGCTTTCCGCACACCCTGGCCAGCCCATGCTTCCACTTAAGGCTACAAAGTTTCAATTATAGAAGATACACAACCCCAAAAGAAATGGCTGCTGGCCATGGCCACAGAGCGAGCAGGAGACTTGGGTCCACTCCAGGCTACTAAGTTTCAATTGTAGAAGGTAAATAAATTCCAGATAGCAGGGCCTCTTCTTGGGTCACCAGGGGGTGTGGCTGGCCTGCAAATCACCATAGGCCCCTTGTCTAGGCCACCCAACACCCCAAGGGAACCCCCATCTTGATCCGGGACACCCTTCAGGGCAAACCCACTGCTTTCCAGGCCTCTATCCTATCTAATAAAAGAGCAATATGCAGATTGACCATCAATCCAACACAATATGGCTGCCCCCACGTGGTCACAAGATGGCCACCACAAGATGGTCAGCAGGGGAGGGCAGTTGGGAGGCATCAGGCCTGCAAAGGAAGGCAGTTAAGGGGGACCAGGCCTGCAAGGGCGGGCAGTTGGGGGTGACCAGGCTGGCAGAGGAGGGAAGTTGGGGGCAAACAGGCTGTCAGGGGAACAGACGTTAATCAGGCTGGCATGGGAGTGGTTAGGGGGATGATCAGGCTGGCAGGCAGAAGCGGTTAGGGTAAGGTGACCAGGTGTCCCGCTTTCCAAAAATCAGGACTTTTTTAAAACGCCGTGGGACGCAGGACAAATTGTTAAAAATCGGGACTCTCCCACCAAAAGCAGGACGTCTGGTCACCTTAGGTTAGGAGCAATCAGAAAGGCGGGCAGGTGAGCAGTTGGGAGCCAGCAGTCCTGGATGTGAGAGGGATGTCCGACGGCCCGTTTAGGCTCGACCCAGTGGAGATTAGATAGGTAATGGAATCAAAGGAAGAACTATTAATCAGATTTTGGAAAGAACAACCAGTTTCAGGGGTCTAGAGGGCAAAAACATGGGAAAAGCCTGCTCAAGGCCTTATCCTAGAGAGACTGAATTTTAACTACTTTCTATCTGAGTCATTCTCCTTAAGATTCATGTTCCAGGGGAAAGGTAAGATTGGCCTGATTTGGGCCTTGTGCCCACCGTTTGCTCAGTGGGGGTTAGGACCAATTTATAGTGACTTGGAATTGTGACAAGATTATATGGTGTGGTGGAGCGGAAGTTCTTCAAAGGAAAACGGAAACATTTGACAAAAGAAGGGGAAGGGATGCTGGTCCACTAAAGCCAGTATATATCCCTTAATAATAATACCACACACTTAGAGCACTTATTGTGTAATAGGCATTGTCCTGATCACTTTATATATAGTAACTAGAGGCCCAAAGCACAAAATTCATGTACAGGTAGGGTCCCTCGGCCTGGAGATTGGGGCCAATCAGGTTCCCTGCCTCCTCGCCTCCCCACCTTCTCTTTCCCTCAGCGCCTCGCTGCTGCTGCTGGTTGCCCGCCTTGTTCTGCCCGCCCCCTGGGGGTCAGTGCACATCATAGTGAGCAGTCGAACTCTCGTTTTCCTGGTTGAACTCCTGAGGGGACATTTTGCATATTAGCCTTTTATATGAATAGTTTTACTTAATTCTCATAACATCCCTAACATAATTACAAAAAGAATATGTGACTTCCCAGAGAAGTTTACAAAAAGAGAGAAGAGTAGAATCCATTGTTAATGAACAGGAGGAGAAGCAAGTGAATTCTGAGAAGTGTGGTGAAATAAATGTAAGAATCAAGATATGGCTTAGATCTACAAGTAACATTTTGATTATGGCCTATTGAATAACTTTAACTCTTCAGTCCTCATTCTTCCCCAAGCTTAGTCATAAGCTTAAACTAAACCAGTCTTAGAATCCCATTTCCCTTGCCAGTGATTCCTTTAGAAAAGGGGAGGTAACAAGAGAGTCTTCTTGGTCAGATTTCTTTGCTTCTGAAAAGAGACTCAAACAAAAGACACACTTTCCCCTTATCTTCCTCCCTCAATGGCCAGGACTC